GGAGAAAATCTTTGCAAAGCATGTATCTCATAAAGGATAGCCATCTGAATACATGTGTCAAAACTTTAAAAAATTATACACTTTAAATATTTACACCTGATTGTATTATCAGTTATAACTCAATAAATCTTTCAAAAAGATGAAGTTGAACTAAGGCAGTATCATAGGAGATGCATATAAAATATATATAAGAGAGATAGAATCCTCAGGACTTGGTAACAGAAATAGGTGAGAGATGCTCCTTTATTAAATGGGGATACAAGTAAGAACGTTTACCCTCAAGCAGCTATTTAATATAAATAGAAAATGCCTGTGGTAAGTTTTAAATCACTGCATTGATGCTAATTATTTTTTGTTATTGGAGAAAAAGTATCTAAAAGAATCCAAGAGAAATAAAAAGCCAGTTGTATCTCTCTCCCCCAAAATGTAGCAACAATGGCTGAGGCAGTTAACTAAATGACTTGAAGATTCACTTAGCAAAGTAATTTTTATAGAGCTAAAGGAACAGAAGAAACATATGTCTCACTGGGTTTATGTAAAAGCAATAAGGGGATGCCGACTCTTTTATACTGATATGACTTCTGAAATGGTTTAGACAGAAGTCCAATGCCACTTGCCCCTGCTGTGCTATATCAACAGAGAAAGGCCAGTTCTGCTGGGTTTCTCTCTAAAAGCCTCCTGGTTTGCCAGTACTGCTCCACTGCCTCCTGTGAAAAATCCCATCCTGCAAAGAATAGCACAGACAGAACTGGAGATCTGTGAGTTTATTATTTCTAAATTATCCTTTGGAATTATTTCCAAATCATTTCCAGTAGAAAGTAAACATTTTCTCAAGACAAAGTTCAGAGTCACACTAGAATACCAAGTACTTTTGCTTTTAGCTGGAATCATTTTAGTTAGAATCAAAATTGATAGTTTAATATGTCTTTGATCTATACAAATGGAGAACGAAATTGTTACTTAAGTTTGGCAGATAGCATCTTTTAAAATCTCATGTCCAGGAAAGGGGAGAAAAAATAGACATGATGTACTTTGTTTAGAAGAATGGAAGCCATGCTTTCTTTAGAAGAGAGTCCTCTTAGGTCAGTCCTCCCAGCAACCCTTCTAAGGACACTGTTACTATTTCCCCTAGCTCAAATATGCAAACAATTCTATTTCTCAAAGATTCTACAAAATCTACCTGGCATCCCTTTAAAAAAACTACCACTCCCCCTACCTCACAGGGCCTTAGAGGGACTGGAAATTGCTGCCCCCGCCCCCACAGTCTAAGCTCTCACTACCACTACCTTACATAATAAGTCTGTGATACAAACTATGCCAATCTGATTTTCCCTCCACCATATCTCACTGTTGAGCAAAGATACTTAGATGAAAAATGAACGAAGTGGAGACATCCAAGAGTAGCCAATTAGAAAAGGCCAATCCCCTAGACCCTGCTGCTGGGATCCCTGGAGTTCCCCCTTGTTCTTGATCCTTCCTCAGCCCTGTTTGTTCAGCTCCTTCTTATTTAATTTTGTACAACAAAGAATTTGGTGGTCTTTGTCTTCAAAGACACTTCAAATTTGGTGTCAATTTGGTGTCAATTTCCCTGGTGATAGGAATATCTTTGTTATTCATGGTGGGGCTCCTTGGATCACACTTGAGTTTGAGCTAATGAGATGACTCTGGATGGGGACTAGTTGCCAGAAAGACCAACCAGCTGACTAGAGGATTGGGGCTTTGGGCCAGGAGATATCAGCCCAACCATCAGAAAGGAACAGGGGGCTGGAGATGAAGAGCCGTCATGCAGCCAGTGATTCAATCAATCATGCCCATGTAATCGGACCTCAGTAAAACCTCTGGATCCTGAGGCTCGGATGAGCTTTCTGGTTAGCAAACACACCCATGATTAATGTGCTAGGGAGGGTGATATGTCCTGATTCCAGGGGCAGAAGATACAGAAGTCCCAAATTCAGGACCCTCCCAGACCTCACCCTATTGGTCTCTTCTTTTGGCTGGTCCTAACTTTTATCCATTCTAATAAAATTGTAATCAGAAGTACAGCACTTTCCTGAGTTCTGTGAGTCATGCAGTAAATTACCAAACCTGGGGGATAGTGGGAACTGTGATTTGTAGCCAGTCGGTCAGAGCAGAGGTGGCTGGGAACACCCAGGGTTTATGGCTGGTTGGTATCTAAAGTGAGAGCAGTCTTACTGAGGACTATGCTCTTAATTTGTGAAGTCTGTACTAACTCTGGTTAGAAAGAAGTGCATTACATTATTTCATCAAACACTCTCTGCCTCATTTTCCTCATCTGTAAATGCAGACCATCATAGTATTTATACTTCAAAGGGTTTTCGTGAGAAATGAATTAACATATATAAATCATTCAGAACAGTGGCTAGCACACATCAAATATCATGTAAATATCAGAGTAGTTTCTTCGTTGTTGCTGTTTTTATTATTGAAGTCCAGAACTGGCTAATGTAGCAATTATCAGTCTTTTCTGTTAAAATCTAAACAACATGAAGGAAAGACTGGCTCTCAGTATCAGTCAGAAAATGTTAACAACTAATCACATAGATGGTACTGACATTAGTCAGCTAATGTTCTGAACACAAATGAACACTGCTGATATCTATATCATCTAGCAAAACTCATACCAGCCACTTTGAGCGACTGCCAGAGTATTACATGCTTTTTGTAGCTCTGGAAATCATCACTCCAGAGATTAGGGGCCTTGCTCTAAATAATGAAGCAAATTGTTAGGAGGAACAGTACCCATGAAGATTCTTACTTTTAGCTTGTCAAACCACCAGGCATGACACATAGTGAGAAAACCCTAAAATGATACATACATGTCACTTCTCAGCTTAGCTGTGAGCTACATCACAGTGCACTGGAATATCCCTTGCTCATCAGTAACGGGGACCAACTCCTCAAAACTCATTCCATTGTCTTCCATCTTCCTGTCATTTAGAACACACTTGGAAGTGTTCCAAATAGTTGTTGAGTCCAGGAATAAAGTTCTTACCAAAAAACTGTCTTGGCTACTTTTTAGTATTATGATTTACTCCTGTTTCTGCCCTCTCTTGGTCACTTTCCCTTCCCAGCTACTTGTGTTTGAGCTTTGAGAAGGCCAGGAATGCTCTCCCTGCCATCTTTCATTCCAAGTTCCCACTTATGAAACCCACTCTTAAAACCCAGGCGCCATGTCCTTATGTTGTTACAAAAAAAGAAGAAAACTAAAATTAAACAGTACGAGTAGAAGATTTTTCCTGGCAGTGCCAGTATAATTCCAAAGATCACTTCACTGCTTGATTTCTCATCAGTAAACAGCCTGAGTTGCTCAGGAGCTATTAAACAAAGCCCCCACAAGGAACTCAGCTTTTAAAGATTTCCAGAAAGCCGTCTGTAAAGCTAACTTAAGCTTCTTCTAGATTGATAAAAACACAGAGTTAATAAGAGGTATCAGCCTGTCCATGCCAGAAATAGGACTAGAATCCAGGTCTTCTTGCTTTTTTTTTTTTTTTAAGTTTATTTATTTATCTTGAGAGAGACAGAGTCAGCTCAAGTGGGGTAGGGGCAAAGAGAGAGGGAGAGAGAGAAAATCCCAAGCAGATTCCACACTGTCCGAGCATAGCCCGATGTGGGGCTCTAACCCACGAAGCTGTGAGATTATGACCTGAGCTGAAACCAAGAGTCGGAAGCTTAACTGACTGAGCCACCCAGGCACCCCCAGGTCTTCTTGTTTTAAATTTAATGTTCTCAACCTACCTTATAGATAATCCCTTCCAGATCTAAAATTCTATAATCCTAGGTAAGATTAAAACAAAAATAAAAACTGCCTCATTCCTACCCAAACTGGTTTTTCTCTACCACCAGACCAGCGCTTTCAACCCAGATGGCATGGAAAAGCCTTGATCCAGTGAGCAGAAGGTCCAGGTCTGAGTCCTAGCTTTACAATGTACTAAATGCATGACAATGAACAAGTAACTTTATAAATCTAGGCCTAAGGCTCCTCATCTGCAAAGGAAGGGCCCTGATGGTCACTTATGTTTAACCCTTCTTAGCATCAAGACCTATCTTATGAGACCCTGCAAAGAGACCGCTTTCAATCCTGTTAGTATCAAAGGACACTCTAGCCACAGATAGAGATGGAGAGGACGCAAAAACCCTGTTTTTCCCTTCCTTGTCAAGCTTCACACTATTAGATATGCTCTTTCACTCACAGCTCTGAAGCAAATGTTTCAGGAAAAAAAATGGTAGTCCTGGTTTAACAATTTTATACATGAAAAATAACTAAAGTTTTTATTTAATAAGTTCAACATGAGTTAGCAGAGTGATGTGAGTGCTGAAGGCTCCAGTATCAAATCAGACTGCATTAGCTGATGTGCAGAGTCCAGAACTAAGAAGCTGGCGATCCTGTTCAACTCTGCGCTGGTCAAACCATTCCTGCGGGTCTGTGTCTGACTCTAAGAACTATGATCTAAGAAAGATATTAACAGAAATGTTCACAGGCAGGAGACCAAGAGGAGGAAGAGGCTGAGAAAACATGTTTTCTTCAAAGAACCTGGCTATTTAACCTGGAAAAGAAAAGACTCAGGGGAGATTCCATCTTACTTCCACCCAATCTTTGAATCATCTAGGACTCAGCAGAGCTGAGACCAAGTAGAGACTGATAGAAGGAAGGGGCTGCCTCAAAAGGCCAGTAAGCTCCCTACCTCTGGAGAAGCAGCAGAGACTGTGGTAGGTAGGAAGGAGATGGGTGGGGATAGGATAGAACCATTTAGAATTCTAATGAAGAGCAGCTCCAACTCTATTTGAAGCATCTTCCCCCTTTCCCAACATGGTGACTAGATTCAGTCTTATTCAGTGACTATATGTAGAACCATTTTAATAATTTGCTCTTTACAAAGCATTTTATACTCATGTACTTTTAAGGCCAAGTTGCTGCCCATCTTCTTCTGTCTTCTCTAAACCTTCCAGCAACTAGGATCGATAACCAAGCTGCCTATTACCTTCTGAAGACTTCCATGCCTTCCACAGGTCCTCCACACTGATGAGCTTATCCTCACCATGGAAGGTGCTGTGTTTCACTGTCGGATCATGGTAATTGAGGTCTTCCCTCAGGAACTGCAAGGAAAAAGCACACAAGTCACAAGGGATACCTAGGGTCAGCCCACCGAGATCTCCACACAGGCCATCTAACTTTCCATAGCACATTCCATCCACCCAATGTATAAGTGTACCACATCACTCTTATGTCCTTCATGTGCATATGTCCTAGCTGCCAACTAGACTACCTCTTCTTCTTTGTTGTACGTTTCACTTGAAAAAAAAAAAAAGAATAAGCAATTTCTTCCTCGTATTTTTTTAATTATGGAAAGATAATAAATGATAGTTAACTGGAATTCAATACACTAGAAAAAGGAAGAAGGATAGGGAAAAAGAATTATCAATTTTTGGATCACCTGTTTATATACTAAGCAATATTCCAAGAACTTCTACAATATTTTCTCATCTAATCCCCACAACCAATGAATTATCACACCTATTTTACAAACGAGAACAGAACTATGCTAAGATAATGCAACTTACCCCCAAATCACATTAAATTTGGAGAGGTTTAATTACTTGCTATGATGGTTTTAAAATATGTCCACAATTCTAGATAATCCTCCCACAAAAGGAGAATTCCCCTCCCCTGGAATATAGGCTGACATTTGTGACTCATCTTCTAACAAACAGAATATGGCAGCAGTGATGTCGAGTGGCTTCCAAGGGTAGGTTAGAAAAGGCAATACAGATTTCACCTGGCCTTCTCCATTTTGGGACACATGCCTTGAGAGCTCTGAGCTAACATACATGAAGCCTGGCTACCCCCAAAGCCACCATTATGGGGAGAACATATGGAAAGACTACATAGAAATATAGACAGATATCTGAGCAGCCCAGCTGTTTGTCTCCCCAGCCCAGGACTCAGACAAGTGACTGAGACTTCAGGTGATTCCAGCCCCCAGTTTTTGAGTCACTGCATCTGATGCCAAGTGGACACAGATGAGCTGTCCCTACTGAGCGATGCCCAGATTGCAGATAAATAACAAAATAAATGTTGCTGTTTGAAGCCACCGAGTTTTGGGGAAGTTCGTTATACAGCATTAGGTAACTCAAACATTTGCTCAAGTGATGAATTTGTATTCCAACCCAAGATATCTGACTTTACAGTCCAAATTTTCCCCCAGCACTATATACGCTGTCCTTTAAATTACTGGTATTTCTTTTCATAATATACACCCTTATAAGAAAGAAGAAAAGCCAAACAAATCAAAGCTTTTAGAAATTTAACTGGTAATTAACTTCACAGATACTCATTCAGCCAGATTCTTAACCTCATTAGTATGTACAAGATTGAACACTTGATCCCGGTTTTTCCTAGAGCCTCAAACATCAAAGAAATATGCAATTTTGATCACTATGTTTTTATTTTTTTTTTTAATTTTTTTTTTCAACGTTTATTTATTTTTGGGACAGAGAGAGACAGAGCATGAATGGGGGAGGGGCAGAGAGAGAGGGAGACACAGAATCGGAAACAGGCTCCAGGCTCTGAGCCATCAGCCCAGAGCCCGACGCGGGGCTCGAACTCACGGACCGCGAGATCGTGACCTGGCTGAAGTCGGACGCTTAACCGACTGCGCCACCCAGGCGCCCCAATCACTATGTTTTTAAAACATAGTTTAGTAGGATTTTCAGGAAATGTCTCTTATCCTTCTTTTTTCTCACCCTTTGTGTCTAGGAAAGGGTCTGACCCAGCGTAACATCAGTAAATGTTACTATCTAAACAAACAGATGACTGACAGATTACCTAGACCCATAATCAAGAGGTGATTTCCTCCCCCTGGGTTTTGGGGATATTAAGACATCTAAGTCTTAATGACTCAGGAGAGAAGTTTGAAGCAAGTCCACACTGGTGCACTCTCAACCGAGTCAGAATATAGCCTGCTGGGCACAAGGAACTTGAAAGTGTCTACAACTATAACATGGCACCGTCTAATACAACTTTCTGCAATGATGGAAATGTTCAATATCTGTCCTGTCCAAACAGTCCCCACTAGGCACATGTGGCCACTGGGCACTCATAATGTGGCTAGTGTGACAAACACACACACACACAGACACACACACACACACACACACACACACACAAACCCTGAGATTTAAAAAAAAAAAAAATTAATGCAGAGCTAAATGACCACATGTGGCTAATGGCCACCTATTGTGGCGCAGCTCTAACCCATTCTTCTACCTGTGGTTTGGGTGTGGCCTGGCTACACTCCCACAGAGGCTGGAGTGGTGTTAGGAAGTCAAGACGTCTCGTGAGATAAGGAGGTAAAGGCAGTGCTCACATGCACAGGCTAGACAGCCCTTCGTGCCCTCCAGCCTCAACTAAATTCAGTTGACAACAAGGGTTAGGTTCTCCAGCTCCCCAACCTCTTATTTGTAGTTGGTGAGAAAATTTATTTTTTAATAAGGATTATGCAAGTGGCATGGTGAAAAGCCCAGAGCAAAAAGATTTTGTTGATTCTTAGAAAAACTAAACTGATTAAAGTATTTTTTATGATTTTTTAATAGTCAGCCTTTTAAGGCACCTGACCTTTGATTCATTATATGCTGTAAATTGTGAATTTTAACAATTTTTCCCAAGTTGCCACACTGTTATCCCAACCCCATTCAATAAATTATCTTTTATTCATTTTTAAAAATGCTATTTAGTAATAATTAAGTCCTTATATATAGTTGAGTATATTTCTAGGCTCTGCATTCTTCTGCACTAAATGATATTTCTTTTTTTTAACTAGTTTTTTTCAGTCTATTTATTTTATTTTTGAGAGATACAGAGAACACAGGTGTGGGAGGGGCAGAGAGAGAGACAGGAGACACAGAATCCAAAGCAGGCTCTAGGTTCTGAGCTGTCTGTGCAGAGCCCAACTTGGGTCTCAAACCCGCCAACTATGAGATCATGACCTGAGCTGCAGTCAGACACTTAACCGACTGAGTCACTCAGGCACCTCAATCATATTTCTATTTTTGTGCTAGCCCTTGACTATCTTATTATACTTTTTGTTTTATTTTGTATTTTAATATTAATTTCTAATGCCTGGACCCCCTGTTTCCCATGGCTCTTATGCTTCAGAATATTTCTTGTCAATCTCAGCTGTTTATTTTTCAAAATTAATTTTAGAACAATTCTATTAACTTATTAAGAGGCTTCTCTCACTGGAGGCCTAAGTGATGAGATCACTAGGCCTTAAACAACAGACACTGGGACATCTCAGGGGGGACACAGTCACAAGTAGTCAGACAGCCAGTCTGGGGACAGAAATTCATTAATTCACTTAGTCAACAAACATAAGATTTCTAAGTACCAGGCATAGTTCCAGGCACAAGAAATTCAGTGAGTAGTAAACAAAACAGATACAGATCTTTATCCTCACTGAGCTAATATCCTCTTTGGGTGAGAAAAAGCAGGAAAGAGGAATATGGAATGCCAAGAGTACTGGTATTGGTGGCTTGTCATTTTAGAGGAGTCAAGGAAGGTTTCATTAAGGAGGTACATGTACCTGAAGGAGATGTTGGAGAAAGGCAAGCAGAATAACCGGGACAAGAGTATCTCAAGAATAGGAATGGCAAATGCAAAGGCCCTGAAGCAAGAACATGCTCGGCTTGTTCAAGGAACAGTGAGGAGGCCAGTGTGGCTGAGAGAAATGAGAGAGGTGGTGACTAGTGATAGACAAATCCAGGGAAGAAATCAGGGGTCCAGATCATAAACACCATTGTAGGCCATTATATGGGCTTGGATTTCAACTCTGAGAAGGAAGCTGTTAGGGGACTTTGAACAGAGATGCGACATGATCACATGTGCATCTCTTAAAGGATTGCTCCAAATGCTGTGCTAGAGAGCAGACTATAGGAAGGCAAGGGCAGGGAAACCAGTCAGGTGGCTACTGCAAAAACCTAACTTGAAACGAGGTAGTAATGTGGGTATAACGAAAAGTTGTCAAGTTTCGCACATATTTTATTTTATTTTATTTCTTTAATTTTTTTTTTCAACGTTTATTTTATTTTTGGGACAGAGAGACAGAGCATGAACGGGGGAGGGGCAGAGAGAGAGGGAGACACAGAATCGGAAACAGGCTCCAGGCTCTGAGCCATCAGCCCAGAGCCTGATGCGGGGCTCGAACTCACGGACCGCGAGATCGTGACCTGGCTGAAGTCGGACGCTTAACCGACTGCGCCACCCAGGCGCCCCGTAGTTTCGCACATATTTTAAAGAAATCAAATCTGTAATGCTCAGATTACAGATACAGCTATACCCTGTGTTGGTCCTCCAAGGTTCTAATCCGGACCCTCTTAATCTAAGACTACAGAAACCCACATCATGTGCATGCGTTAGGAGTAGAAATGCCAAAATATCCAAAGAAGGGGATTTTCTGCCATTCCCAGCTAACTCTAGGAAACCACCGGATGACACATACCAGCTGCTTATTGGGAACCAATAAGAAATAGACTGCTTTTTATAGCCAAGTCTGATCACTGAGGTATATGGAGAACAGAGAAGCTCATGGGAAGAAAGTGTAAGGGGGAGCTGCACGTACAGGGCTCATGTACAGGCTCTATTCGTGCCACAAACCATGCAAAGAAGGAATGGGGTCGGAAAACAAGACCAGCAAGAAGAGGTGCCAAATGAGGACTATGCGCTGACAGAAGTTCTGCCTGAAGGAAGGGCCTGATGCTGAGTCGAACAATCAGGCCTCAAGAGTAGGAAAGGCAGGGGCGCCTGCACGGCTCAGTCGGTTGAGCTTCTGACTCCTTACTTTGGCTCAGGTCATGATCCCACGGTCATGGGATTGAGCCCAGCGTCAGGCTGCACGTTGAGCTTGGAGCCTGCTTAAGATTCTCAATCTCTCTCTCTCTCTCTCTCTCCCTCCCTCCCTCCCTCTGCCCCTTTCCCACTCTCACGCACACTCTCTAAAACAAGCAGAAAAGAGTAGCTAAGGCAGTATACTATAAAGAGGAAGAGTTCACAACCTATAGAAACAGACCCCTTACTTCCTGTGTGACTTTCGGGCAAGGTA